GGTGTGGTGGTGGGGGTGGGGGGGGGGCGGCCGCCAACCATCTGTACGGCAGCACGGCAGTGAGATCGGAGTGAGGCAGAACAGACTGCAAGCAAACGGTGAGGCAGCGTGGGGGCCTCGGCCGGGAGGACCCAGCGAGCAGCTTCCTGATCACACAGCCTGATGCCTCTCCCAGCTACATGGTGTTCACGCTGCGAGGAGGAGGAGATGAGGTGATGCTTTTATCTTCTGTATGTGCCCAAGTTCTGTGACAAGTTTTGTAGTCCTCTATAACTGATGGAATTATTCTGCATTTGTGTAGAGTATTGCTGGAAGTTGTAGTCCCCTATAGCCGTTACCATTCTGCGCTTCTGTAGAGAGTGATGCTGGAAGTTGTAGTCCCCTATAGAATGGTAACGGCTATAGGTGGGCAGGGAGGGCAGTGTAAGAGCGGGGGGGAATCTTGCACCAGGACCCATGGTTCCATACATAGGTCTGCCACTGCTATTCAACCTATAAAGTCCAAAAGTGTCTTATATTATCTTTCAATGTGGACAGTGCTCAAACACACACACCCGAAATCCCAGAAGTGCTCACTCCACTTGTCTCCCCAGCAGGGGCGGATCCAGAGTCTAGTCTCGGGGGGGCGGGGGCCCTGCCTGAAAATAAGCCCCCCCCCATTTGGCTCTTCCACTGCTACTGTGCCACCCCTTTCCTCTCTCACTGTCACCAGTCAGCATGACAGGAATATAGCCTTGCAATTTATGTTAACATTTTTTGGGGACAGATAGAGCTTTCTTTTGGTGGTATATAATCACCACGGGGGGATGGAGAGTAACACTGAATGCAGGAAGTGATGTAATATACATCACTTCCAGCATTCGGGGACGGAGAGAAGATTAAAGGGAGACTGTATACTGATCTCCCTTTGATCTCCTGTCACAGAGCCGTGCCGGCAGTGACAGCTGCTAATACAAGCGATCAAGCGTCTCCAGAGACGCCCGATCGCTTGAATGTAAAGCTCCCGGCCGGGAAGCTGCTCGTCGGGATTTTTCAAGCCCTGCCTCTGATCCACGCACACGGCCGGGACATACAGCTGTCTTGCTGTCACAGAGTTAACTGCGGCATATTACTTGTAGTGTGCCGGTTTTTTACACTGAACCGCAATTAACTCTGTGACAGCTTGACAGCTGTATGTCCCGGCCTTGTGCGGGGATGTACTCCTGTCACTGGTACGAAGATGGTGCATGTCCTATGGCAGTGGATAACCTCTTCTCATCAATCCTCTTTATAGTAACGATCAATCCTCATTACTAAGTGCAGAGTCCAGTGCGTTACTAACTGCAGAGTCCAGTGCGTTACTAAGTGCAGAGTCCAATTCATATACTGTTCTGCATTGCTGTATAATGTATTGCTGGGATTTGTAGTCCCTGTACATCCAGTGCCATTCTGCATTAGAGCGTAAGCTCCTCTGTACAGAAACTAATGTGACTGGCACAGTGTTCTCTGTACAGCCCTGTGGTATATGTCAGAGCAATATAAATGTATAATAAGGGTGTGAGACTGTGGGGGGACCACAAGTACCAGCATGCCATTGGCAGCTGGGGGGTGATGGCTAGCTATGTAGGCTGTATGGGGCCCCGTGATTTATAATGGCGGCCCTGAGGGTACTTGAAAGCATTTGTAAGATATAACTCCTAAGTGTATTGTCACTTTAAGGGTGATTTTGAACACATGCAGCTGATGTATCAGTGATTCCCTAAAGTACCCCAAGACTTTACCTCCATAACAACATCAGGTTCCCCTAATAACAGGTTCCATTTATAGCTGGCGATACCTTCTCTGTCCACATTCTGAGACAGTTGCATTTGTAACCATTAAGTAACTGGAAATGGAGCTAAAGTACAGCAACTTTAACTGTATCTGTCCCACAATTCTACACAAAATTGGTCGAATCCATTAGAATTGAGATCAGCGGTCGCCAACCGATGGTCCGTGGACCACTGGTGGTCCACCAGAATATTTTGGTGGTCCCCGGGCCCCTCTGATGCCCTGCAGGCTGGGCCGTCATTGAAGCGGCACGGAGGCTCTGGGGCTGCCTCTCACTGACTCAACTTCAAGCAGCGGCTGTCACAAGGAATGCGCGGCTCTCAGTACAGTGCGGGCACATATATACATTTTTTAAATTCCTATCAGTGGTCTGCGGGATTTAAAATTATGCATTTAGTGGTCCACGAGGTCCGAAAGGTTGGCGACCGCTGATTTAGATCATATTTGTTTTTCATCCACCTCTCATTTATGTTTATTTTTTGTGCAAACAACTATTTTGAACATTGTTACCATATTGAACATTCTTGTCTAAACAAGCAACACGTCTCCTGCAATGAATGGAATTGTAGGAAGCTGCTGGTTGAAGCAGAGGGCGTGTAGGAGGGGGGGGGGTCCTGTGCACATTACCAGGCTGGGAATCCTCCCTGCTCCACACTGATGAGCTGTGATGAAAGCGGAGCCTCCTCCTGCTTGTCTGGGGTTGGTTTCAGCCAGTTGGTTTGTGTAGATACGTCACCCGATCTGTCTCTTAGGTGACAGTGTCTGTATACAAGTGAAGGAGCTTAGTCAACTGACCCATTCTCCTACTCCACACCGCCTCGCCTTCTGTGACTCAAGTCTAGGGGAGGGGGCACAGGTGTACAATTTCACTTCCTGCCTGGCATCTGGCTCCTCCTTGGCCACTAGCTGCAGGTAGTTGACACACCTGGCTGGTCGTTGAAGGGTTAAAGGTGGATACCTGGCGATCAGGAACACCCATTTTAGTTTCATCTGAAACCTACAGAGGACACGGACTTAGAGGGACTGCTTGAGCCTAGGGATCAGCCAGAGGACATCTGACTTAGACCGTCCCAGCTCAACGAGGACCAACAAAAGGAGCCCCATCTCAGGAGACCCAATGGACTTATTCACAAATCTGGAATTACTGCTGAAGTTCTGAGGACTGTGGATAAGGGTTATATAGAGAGGAGAGGAGGAGGACGACACATCTCAGATCTAGGTGTCTGAAGCTGCTGTTGAAGTCCCCCTTGCTGTGTTTTTCTGGTGATGATGAGTTCAGGACACAGGGCTCCTCTGTAGGGATCACTGGGCTTAGAAGGAATTCAGTGGCAGCCATCACTGGTGTTCAGAGACCCCCTTTCTGGAGAATGTACAGCCTGTGCTTCCTTGCTGCTCTCATAGGAGCTCTTCAAGTTGGGTGGTCTGAGCTCCATGGCCAAGCCTGCCTGGACAATTTCACCAAGAGCAAGTCCAACTTTGTGCTGGAGCTGAATGAATCTGTGAGCGATGGGGCCACATTCCTCTCCTCCCCCAGCCTGGACAGGGGTAGGGACTGTATGTCAGCTTGCTGTAGGACCCCTGGATGTAACCTGGCTTTGGTGGAGCTGGAGCCCGGCCATGATGACATCATTAAGTCTTGCTTCCTGTTGAACTGCATCTACAAGCAGGAGTTTGTCTGTAAGTTGGCCAGGAAGGAGGGATTTCTCGGTTACGTCCTGCTAGACGGCAGCAACAAGTATTTACAGCGATGGGAAGAGACTGAAGGTGAGCGTTCACTTTGTTGTATCAGGTGTGGGAATGTCCTCATTCTATTTCCGGGTCTTTCTATAGTTTGTGTTGCACTCACCACGCATGTTACAATTTGATTGTACAATCCCCTTTAGATCTACACACAGCTTTGTAGTGCAATAGGCTGCCCAAATAATGGATACAGGATGACTGTATACATGGGGGGGTCCTTTTTTTATATTGCATAGTTTTGGTAACCCTAAAGCTCAACACACGTTACAATCTGATTGCACAATCTTAGATCTACCAGCAACTATGTCATGCAAGGGCCTGCCTGATTGGATATGAATTGAATGGGTGGTTTAGGTAGGTCCTCATATTACATAGTGATTGGATGGCTTGGGTAGGTCCCCATATTGCACAGTTTGAAGGGGAGGTTGGTCCCCCATGTTGCACAGAGTGATTTTGGGTGGCTTGGGTCGGTCCCCATATCTACTTTGGTAGATCTAAAGTTGATTGTACAGAGATTGTATGGTCAGATTGTATTGTGTGTGGTGACCATAAAGTTGGCTGTCAGACTGTAACCTGTGGGAGGTGGCTTTGTTGTATGCAGTGTGGGAACAATGTCCTCCTATATGTGTTATTGGCCCTCCGGGTCCCCCAATGTTCTCTCCATTATAAACCTTCTCCCAATTCACTTCCCTATCTTTAAATGCAGAACTCCCCCTATAACAAGTCTACATCATGGATCTGCTCTGACCAGCTCACAATCATGTACTCCGCCCTTATGTGAAACTGAAAAGTGCTCCAGGATATCTTCCATTTATTTTCTTCTCTATACTTTTTTTTTTTTTACAATTATCGGCGTTCCAGTCCAGCGACTTTAGCTGCACCTTTGCCGTAGCTCCACCCAAAACTGTATACACCCATTACATGCAGTCTAGTCATCCCAAACACCCCCTCTTTCTTTTACTTGTGATATTAACACTTCACCCCAACTTCACATTTAGATGCATTGATAAACTCCACCACCAACTGAATTTTTAAAATATTGTCATACTGTAAAATGCATCAACAAGGTTTTATTTTTGTCTGTAAAATGGGGCTCAGTGTATTCTTCTGTTCATGAATTACTAATAGAGCAGTTTATATCAGTATGTAGGGCCAAAAGTATGAGGTCACATCTACACTGTATGGCCAAAAGTATGAGGTCACCTGACCTGGCGTCACATCTACACTGTATGGCCAAAAGTATGTAGACCCCTCCAGATGATTGAGGTTTGGTGTTCCAGGGAAGGGTATGGGTAATACTAAAACATACCAAGGGGGAATGGGGGGGAGAGACACTCCCATATTAATGTCCACGGGGAGGGGGGCACGAGACTCTGTTATTGCCAATAGGGGGGAATCTCTATTTCTAATGCCCATGGGTGAGCGAGAGCGCACTCTCTATATTCATGCCAATGGAGGAACAGGAAATCGCTCCATATTATAGCTCATTGAAGAATAAGGCGGACACACTGTTATGCGTACAGGTGAGCGAGAGCACTCTATATTCATGCCCATTGGGGGGCACTCCATATTAATGGTCCTGAGAGAATGGGGTGGGGCACTCCATATTAATGGCCCTGAGAGAATGGGGTGGGGCACTCCATATTAATGGTCCGGAGAGAATGGGGGGCACTCCATATTAATGGCCCTGAGAGAATGGGGAGGGGGGGCTCCATATTAATGTCTGCGGATGAGCAGGGGAACATCATTACATTTAATATCTGTAAATAATAAATCAAGGCAACTGGACTTGCTGTATGTTTCTTGAAGACATTTCGCTGGTCATCCAAATACAGCAAGTCCAGTTGCCTTGTTTTATCTTTTACAGATATACCATGACCTGGATGAATGAGAACCTTCACAGACCTCTTTCATTTTAATGCCCACAGGTGAGCAGGGGGGACACTGCATAGTATTGCCTGCGGGTGTGCAGGAGGACATTCCATTTGAATGCCCACAAGTGAGCTGGGGGACACTCAATATTCATACCTGAGGGTGAGCAGGAGGGCATTGCATATTAATGCCTGCGGGAGTGGAATGTTCAGCAAGCTCATGTAGGTGTTACTGGTCAGGTGTCCACATACAGTACATGTACAATTAGAACATGCAGCAATAGTGGATTATATTCATAACGCCCTATAAGGGGATAGAAGTCACAATGTATTGCTGCACTTTTGAGCATGCACAATAAGGATCGGAGAGGATTCCGGATCTGGAGCAGTGAGAATATGCTCGCACTGGAGAGGATCTAACCTTGTGGATATATTGGGGGGGAAGAAACCCCTGACAGGATTCTGAAGACATAGATATTCCTTGGATGTAGGTGGAGTAGTTAGTGACGCCATTCTGCGTACATCCCGTCATCTGTGAGTGTAATTGATTGAAGTGTGTTCTGTGCACCATCATATTTCACATCTGTGTTTTTATTAACCCTTGAGAATGCTCGCACTGGAGAGGATCTAACCTTGTGGATATATTGGGGGGGAAGAAACCCCTGACAGGATTCTGAAGACATAGATATTCCTTGGATGTAGGTGGAGTAGTTAGTGACGCCATTCTGCGTACATCCCGTCATCTGTGAGTGTAATTGATTGAAGTGTGTTCTGTGCACCATCATATTTCACATCTGTGTTTTTATTAAGCGTTGAGGTGAAGGG